ACAAAAAAAAAAAAAAGGAAAGAAAAGAAAAGAAAGCAGAACCAGTGAGATGACATTGGTTGCAATGAACCAAAAACTTAATTTATAAGCCGGGAATTTAGCTCAGTAGTTCTGCTGCCTGCCTCGCAAGCACAAGGACCCAAGTTCGATCCCTGGTGCCAAAACAAAACAATAACAGGAAACTGGACAACAGATCTGAAGAAACATTTCACTAAAGAGGATTGAATGGATGGCCAATAAGCACATGCTGTTCAACACCATTAGATAATAGGGAAATGCACATTAAAATCCCAATGAGATGCCAGAACGTGTTTATTAGTGTTGCTTAAATAAAGTATAACGAGGCAAATGCTGGAGAGTATACAGAGAAACAGGCTCATTCGTGTGCTGACAGTGGGAATGTAAAATGGCACCAGCCCTCTGGAAAATAATGTAGCAGTTTCTTATTTTAAAAAATAGATTTGCCATACTGTTCAGCATAAATTGAGCATTTACCTCACAGAAATGAAACTTGTTTTCACAAGGAATTTAGTACATAAATGTTCACATCATAGTAGCTTTATTTGTGATAACCCAAAACTGGAAACCATCCAAATATCTTTAATGGGCAAAATGACCAAAACTTCTGTGGTTCATCCATACCATAGGCAAGCAATGAAAAGGACTTAACTACTAATACATGCTGTGACTAGAACAAAACTCAAGGAAATTATGTCAGTGAGAGAAGCCAACCTCAAAAGATGCATACACACTTCATGTTTCCATTTATGCAGCATTTATGAAATGACATAATTATGGAAATGGAGAAGAGATCAGTGGTTTCTAGGGGTTAGAGATGGTGGGGAGAGAGGTGGTGTGACTTTTAGGAGGTAGCAGAGAGGAAATGGGGTGAGAGTACAAGTCATTATCTTGATTTGGGAGGTAAATATGAAGCTACACATGTGATGAGAATGTACACATTTGCTGAATAAACTCTGTGGATTGCAGAACTACTTTCCCGGTTTGGATCTCATGTTATAGTGCTACAAGAGGCTACAGGTGTGACATGGGAGAGGCTGTGTGAAGGGTTCACGGGTCCCTCTCTGTTCATTTCTTTGAAACTTGCTGTGAATTTGTAATTATTACAAAATAAAGTTGCTGAAAACCCTAAATTTATCCTTACCTCAAATTTGCTCCTCTTTAAGAAGTCCTTAATTTCACAGCCACAGATGGGAAAGTTAGACCCAGACATCAGCCTAGGCTCCTCCTTATCCCGCATGATCAACAACAACTAGTAATAATACAGTAATAATGTGAGCAACATTGAATGATTCCTTTCTACCAGGCATTACATTAGAGCTTTCCATGGTGGTCTAACTTCTTCCTGGCAGTAAAGATAAGAAAACTGAGGATTCAAATAGACCCACCAATGGGAAAGGGTCAGCATAGCACCTTCTACCTGACTTTGTGGTCCAGTCCAGACCACCCCCTCTCCTGTCCTCAACATTCCCTGGTTCCCAGCTCTGTGACATCACGGAGCCTCTTGTCTACTCTGCCAACCGTGGGTGAGTGAGGCACAAAGGTCAGACCTGGGAGCAAGGAGAATCTTTCTGTCCTGAAAGGGACAGTGGATGTCTGTTCATTTCACTAGAAATGGAAAACACGCCTCATGACCTCACTCTTTCTCTCTGGCCCCCTGACCCCTGAAGAATTGACCCCAAACGTCTCCCCAGTCCCAGAAGCCCCCCTGCCTGATCTCCTTGACCTGGCCTGTTCTGAGCAACGTGCTGCGGTGTCACTAAGAACCTGAAGCTCACAGTCCACTGGGGACACCCCAAGGCCTTTTCTCTGGTTCCTGCTTCCACCTAGAGGAGGGCACTGGAAGTGCAACACACCCCACCCCCTCAGCCTCTCCCGGACACCTCCACCATCACTGTTTACATTTAGTGAGCCTTTTTCCAGGATTAGTCAATCCTCACAAGTCCCTCTATCGTAGATGCTATTTTCCCATTTCATAATCAGAAAACTGAGGTTCAGAAAGGTTAAATTCTTCTTAACTATTCTTCCAAGATGTCAGCCTTCAAGAATTACATCCCTAGGAGTTTTTCCATCTCTCAAAAGGGTTCAAAACCTTCTCCTGTCAACCCTGAGGAGGAAGGTGGTTCCACTCCCCTGTCCTTGCTGTGACACTGCCTGGTAAAGATGTGCAGGAAGCATGAGCCCTGGACTCAGATACACCTCCACTTGAAGTCCCTGCCCCACTGCTCATGTGGAATGATCTCCGGAGACTATTTTTAACTGAAAAAGCAAGATGTAAAATATAGTTTGTAGTAAGCTATTATGTGCATTTAAAAGGCATGGAGGTTAATACTTGTATTTTTTCTACATAAATAAACTGCTTTAAAGCCAGATGTGGTGGCGCATGCCTGTGATCCCAGCACTTGGGAGGCTGAGGCAGGAGGATCTCTGTGAGTTCGAGACCAGCCTGAGCTACATCGTTTGTTCCAGGTCAGTCTCAACCACATAGTGAGACCCTGTCTCAAAAAAAAAAAATCCTAAAAAAAACAAAAAAAAAAACAAAAATAAGCTGCTTTAAAGGAAACAATTTTCATTCCATATGTGCGACAGAAGCAATTTTACTTCTAGTTAACAAGGGAGAACCTTGCCCAAATGGCATCTCTCTGGACAAAGCTAATGGCTGATGGATGAGGGGCTTGGGCAGATGTTAGGTTCCCAAACCGGTGGTATTTCAGAGGTAAATTTTAACTACTGCAATGCACCTCTCACTTTCAGGAAGTTGATGTTCATGGCAGAGTTTCACTAGTGGGTTCCATAAGTTTAACACGGGTTCTGTACACAGAATGATTAGCTTCAGTCACATTTGGTACTGAAGTCTGGTTTCCACAGTAAGAACAAGCCACAAGCAGTATTGCTGTTCATTCACATTACAGATGATTTCCCCCAGAAGTTTGGAAGAAACAGGAAAGTGTTGAGTGCCAAGGTCTCCTCAAAGAGACACCATTGAACAGATGTGGACAGATGTCCTTCTAATATGGAGTATCAGTTCTTCCACTGACCTTTCTACTTATAGCAAATATATGTCTCATCCACAGACTCCATGTTTTCTTTTTGTTTTGTTTTGTTTTGTTTTATTTGGTTGAGACAGGGTCTCACTATGTAGTTGAGACTGACCTGGAATTCACTATGTAGCCTAAGCTGGTCTTGAACTCACAGAGATCCTCCTGCCTCAGTCTCTAGACTCCATATTCTTAAAGAATAGAAAAATTTGGCCATATGTATATTTTGAGAGCCAATTGTTTTATCCAGAAGACCACAAGATAATTTCAACTTCTAGTGGATATGTTAGACAGGCTTGGGGTATAGCTCAGTGGCAAATCACTTGCCTAGCACGTGAGGACCTGGGTTCAGTCCTCAGCACCATGGGGGCGAGCCAGTGTATTGGCTCTAATTAATGTTGTAGAACTCTAAAAATATTCAGGAGATCTACATTTATATTTGCCATTCTAATTTGTTTATTCTAAGTCCCTAAAGGTCTGGGCCCTTTGCAATGGAAGAAGGGGTGTCCTTTATTTAAGTGCTTGGTTACCCCAGAATGTTCTAAAGTCTCCAGAAATCTATCGTGTCCTACTGACTCATCTTCATTTTGCTTATGGTTCTGAGTCACTGCCCCATTCTACCCTATGAAAAAGGCTGTCAAAACAGTTTATGTAGTTCATTTCCTATTTTATTACCTTCTCAAGTCATTTTTATTAAATTATATATAAGTGGATTATTTCAGTATTCTATATTTTCCACATCATTGCAGGTCAACAAATGAATAAACTTTTGGTACAAATGTTATAATCCAGAGCAGTAAGTAACCTAAAGAAACCTGCATTGTACAGCAACTTTATGAAGTTTGGGACAGTTCTAAATATTCTCTCTGGATCCACCTTCTGGTGTCAAAAGATGTAATGGCTATTGTGTATTATGATTATTTTCTAGAAAAAGTTCTCCTGAAGAGCTTTTATTTAGACAGCCATGAGGTGGTACGGGAGGAATATAAGTGAGTAGTAAAGAAGAACTTGGGTGTAGAGATAAAGAAAGATGCAAGAAAATGGGCTTCGGGATGTTTGAGTAGGAGTAAGACCTTTCATCTTTTCTTTTCTTTTTTTTTTTTCTTCCTGAAGCCAGAGTATGTCAATCAAAGAAGCTTTGTATTATTGGGTGTTTTATTCTTCTCTCTTTTTCACAGTCCATCTTAAATCTTTTATTTTTTTTACATCAAAAGTTTCTCATAATGGCCATGGTAAATTCAAATTATCTATGACATGTCATTTATTAAAATAAGCACATAAGAGTGCATAAGGTGGAAATACACGTATGAAATAGAAAGTTTTCTTCAGGAAGAGTGACAACTTTTTTTAATATCATTGAGTTTATTGGTACTTTTTAGGTATACAATACAGTCGTATTTGTCATTGGGCTCTTGTACCTTTACATGACAGATCTTGGTTCTTATTAAGAAGTGCCAACTTTAATGTGAAGGAGACCATGACAAAAAGGAAAGAGTGTGCTACCATTGGTAACAAGGTTTGCATTTGGGCACGATGCCTTAAGTTCCTTACGCAAGCAGAGCCTAGAGGAGGCCATGGGATGGCAAACTGGAAATCGCTTGCTCCGGGACACAGCTAAATGAGGTGACTTTGTTTATGACCCTAACAAGACACAATATGTGCTCGTGAACGTTTCGGAGGACCCAAGACAAAATTTCAGTGTTTGCTCATATACAGACGGGCCAGCAGTCTAATGGACTCCAGCCATTAGTCCTCAGCACCGAGCTGTGCTGAGGGCTCGCCCTGTGCCTACTCTTCCTTAGGAAGGCGATTTGGAACAAAGCAAAACCCCATGAGGCAAATACTGGTGTGAGTGGATGAAGAAAATTGAAGTTGAAGCAATTAGCTGAGAATGACACCGATGATTAATAGCAAGGATAACGGCACGTCTCCAAAACAAGATCTACTTACTTTACATAAATTTATATTCGTTTATAAAACCTGGAAAATAAATCCGTTAAAGAGAGGTCAATGAAATACATCAGAGCTCAAATCGTGTTGGAAAACGCACCCGGCAGCAGATTCAGAAAGATCACTGGAGGTTGGGCTAAATGCAGCGGGTGAACGCCACACCCTCCTTCCAGCCAAGGACCCCACACGGTGGGGACATCTGTATGCGTCTGGCCTGCTGAGTACATCTAACCATGAGGAACAGCTTCGTTAGCAGAAGGGAGAAAGAGCTGTTAGACACACAGTTGTTATTCAGCATTCAGAGATGCTAATGAATTTACTCAACAAACAATTACAAAGTACTTGGTCTGTGTCTATCCCTGTATTGCATACTAGATATAGGGTGAAAGAAGATAATACCCTTGCCTCCAAAGGAGTGGGGCATCTGTCTATCCTGTACCTTATTTGTTACTGTATCTCCAACACCAAATAGTAGCTGGCCCATAGTATGTGCTCAATAGATGTATGTGAAACAAATGGAAAGAACTCGCGGTCTACCATCAGCACGCTGGGCAACTACATAGGCAGTTACACTGAGTTGCTATGAAGCACTGACCATAAGTCAGGTAGTTGCTGCACAGTAACACATTGCGACATCGGAAAACATGGTGAGTAGGGCTGAGGAGTGTTGTGGGGGCACAAAAGAGGGGCCCCTAACTCATCCCAGGAGGAAGAGGCAGCTTTCTGTAACCCTAAGCGGAATCTTGAAGTTCAAGAAGTGAAAGGGTGAGCCGAGAGTATCCCGGACATAGGGAACTGTATGTGAGCAGGACCCTTTAGTAAAACAGTGCTGGTGGGGAGCTGCCTATTCAGCACCTCTTACGGCTGTAGGATAGTGAGTGAAGCCAAGAGAGACTGAAGCTGAAGATATTAATAATGTAGTCAGAAAGGGAGGCAGATCTGCAGACCTGGGGAGCCCCTGAAGAGTCTGATGCAGGACTGAGATGGTGCGCTATGCATCCTGGCTATGCGACCCTAGCTTTAAGTGGAGGCCAAGAAGCCAGTGGGAAAGTCTGACTTGGGGTCCAGGTGAGAGCTGAGGGTGACTTTGACTATGGGAAAGGAAAAGACAAAGGAGGGCAGCAGACAGATAAGGAGATATGTGGAAAGGCAAGTCGAAAGTCTGACGAACTGCCCAGTGTCTGGCTCTAAAGACCAAGTGAATAATAGGGTTATTCTGCAGAATAAGGAACACAGAAACCAGATAAGTAGATTGGGTTTGCAGTGGACAGGGAGGAGAAAGCCACTATATTTTATTTTTTCCATTTTTGATGTTTACCAAGTACTTATGTTGATAATTCCATCAAATTTGGAAAAATCTTCAGCCATTCTTTTTTTTTCCAGTACCAGTACTCGAACTCAGGACCTTACACTTGCCAGGCAGGTGTAGTACCAGTGTGCTACATCCCTGGACCTGAGCCATTCTCGATTCAAATATATTTGCTTCCCTCTTCCCTTTCTTCTGAGAGTCCAGTTACATGTGTACGTTAGTATCCTTCAGGCTACTGCTACTCTTCTCAGTCTTTTTAAAGTCTCTGTTAGCTTTCTGCTTTAGTCTGGATAATTTCTGTTGAACTTTTTTCAAGTTCAGGGTCATTCCTTCTGCTAGCCAGTTTGTTGTTACCCTAATAAATTTTTCTTTCAGATAATGCTTTCTTAGAACTAGAATTTCTATTTTATACAATTTCAGAGTTTTGTTTCTTTTTTCAATACTGTTACCTTTCTATCCATTCTATCAAAGTTTCCTGTCACAGGAAATATTAAGCAGTTATTGTGTGAAGTGACACATTTTAACAGAACTACCCCAAACTTTGTATTAATCATTAAGGAGCCTATTGAAATAATCTGGACAAGAGATAATGTTAGCTTGGACGAGGATATTGCAGTCAAAAAAAAAAATGAGAAGCAAGTACCTTCAGGGAAACACCCAGCCAAATGAATTGGTGGTTATGAGGGACAACTAACCAATAGCGTAGTAAGAATCCATAAAAGGAACTGTTATCGCCAAAAAAAGACCAAGAACAGGAGTGTCCAGAGATCTGGAAAAGATGATTCACAAATAAAGGAGTTTAGGACTAAAACAAGGCCTTGTACTGCTGGATCATCCATACTGAAAGGTCCTGGATGAGACCATCTTGCCTAACTGCCTCTTTCCACCAAGGAGGAGCCTGAGACACAGGAAAAGGAATGCTTCTACCAAAGGCATTCAGCAAGTTAGTATCAAAACTGGGATTTAAACCTACATAACTATGCACTTCTTTACCATGTCCCTATGGGACCTGGGACCTGAGATAATTTAGAAACAGTGAGCTACAGAAGGAAAGAAAAGGAAATGGAATGACCATTAACTGAGTACTTCGGGTATATCTACCGCTGAAGGAGTCATTTTTGCATATATTGAACCTTTTACTTCTGTAAGGTAAGCACTGACACATAGTCCCATAGTCTACAAGATTAAAATGAGGTTCCAAAAGGTTGAGGACGTGCACCCAGAAGTGAGGTAGAATGTAGATCTACGTAAGACCCAAGCATACTATGTCCACTTCTGCATGGGCTGAAATTTTGCTGTGATGGGTCTTAGCTAGTGTGTGAACACAAAGTACTGGCATATTTTAAGCTACACACTTAAGTTCATCTAGGAAACAGCTCTGCCCAGGGATCGGGGCTCAAATTCAAAATGAACTGATTCAAAACGGCATCTCTGTGGGAAAAGCTAGCAGAGTAAAGGCTTCATTCAATTACTTCCCGTGGGTAAGAAAATTTTGTACAAAATACAAAATAAATGGCTTTAAGAGAGCACAGCTTGGGCACAAGTCACAGTCCTGGATCTCTTGGCCATGAGGAGCCACAGAAGATTTGGAACATGTGTGGAACATCATGCCTTGGGAGAGGTGGGCCCAGTCAACTCTCACCACGGTAAATCTCCAACAAGCATGTGGCATTTGGGCCCCAGAACTCATTGCCCCCTTCTTTTGCCTCCTACAGCAGCCCATCAAGACCTGGCTTCAAAGATGCTCTGCTCATGCTTCAGGGACTGAGGACCCCACGTCGCTGATGACCCCAAGGTTCCCAGCCCAGAGAACCAGCCATTGAGCAGCAGTAAGTATCAGACAAGAGCACCCTGCCTGGCCTCCTAGACCTGTTTGCTGTTCTCCTCCTGCTGAGATACCCCTAGATTTCCTTTGTCTTTTGAGTGACAACTGCAATCTACAGTGAGATAGGGGTTAGTGGCTAAGTACCCAAACCAGTTTACAAGAAAGCTTAACATTTTACTACTTAAAATGCTGTCCATGGCCCTGTGATATCAGCATCACCAAGGATCAATCAGAATGCATTTTCAGAACCTGCTTCATTTCCAGAACCTGAAGTTTAACCTAATCTCCAGGTAAGTCTGAATGTGTGTTACGTAGTTTGAGAGACTCCAGGCTACAGACCATAAAGATAGTAGTTAAGATTGCTGCCTTTGCATCAGTAAATGTTAGTTTGAATCTGTTATTCTACAGAAGTTAAGCAAGTCACCTAACAACCTCCATGAGCTTCAACTGTCCTCACCTGTAAAATGGGAATATTCAAAATACATTGTTACGGCCAGGGATTTAGCTCAGTGGTTCCAGCTCCTGCCTCGCAAGCACAAGGACCTGAGTTCAATCCCCTGTACAAAAAAAAAAAAAAATCGAAATATATTGTTATTTTTTTAGGATCATCATGAAATGATGAAATATGCATAAGCCACCTAGCACAAGATCTGTCACAAAATAGATACTTAAGAAATAGAAACTATATGGAAATTAGTCAGGTTAGGAAAGGTTCTGCTGTTAAAACAAATAAACCCTACCTGTCATGTAAAGGTACAAGATCCCATTAACGAATGTAACTGTACTGTATACCTGAAATGTACCAATGAACTCAATGAGAGTAAAAAAATAAGCCCTTGCCATATACAAAGCACTGTCTACGCACTAGGGACACAGCTGCAATCAGATGAATCCTCTACTGTTTCCTAGTTTACATGTTACAAGTAAAATGATATGTAGCCTACACAGTCACACTCAGAAGTGGGATTTACTATGCAAAATGAAAGCACGGCTTTGTAAGTACGAGATAAGATGCAGAAGAAGGCTAAACAATTTGTTCAAGATAAAACACAAGACATGATAGGGCTATTCACCCTTCTATGGAACCTGGCTCAGTCTTTTGACAAAAATCATTTGTTATACTTCTAGAAGGACATAAAGATGAAACCTTATAAACAGCAATGTTCATCACAATAGTCTTTACAGTAATAGAACTGGAAGGGTCTAAACATTCAATAATAGAACGTTGTTTCAACAAGCCATAAAGTAGAATATTATTCAATCATTGAATTAGCCATAAAGTAGAATACTGTATAATGATTGCTTTTTAAATTTAGTGACATTATGTTCATAACATATATGAAAAAATAAAATGTATATATGACACACAGGATGTGATGGCATATTTAAAATATTCTTAGAAAAAAACAGACATTATCTGGAGGAAGGGTGTTTGGGGTATTTTTCCGCCTCATACTATTTAATATTTCTTAACTTTTGAATAATTTGAAATAATTTGAATAATTTTAAAAAGATAAAAAGTTAATGTTTTAAGGGCTACATATTCTGAATACAGGGCCCATTCACCAGGGGACATATTCAAGAAATGGTAAGCAGATTCAGACACTCCCCTGCCCCATCACATGCACCACCCACCTGTGGGGCTGCTTCAGAGCTGCTAGACACCTTCATTTCCATGACATCCTCTGACCTCACGGAATTCTCACTGCCAGGTTTGCAGCTGCAGAAGGAAGAGCTCAACAGACCAAATTCCAGGCACACTGGCGTAAGATGCCTGAATCATCTAGCAAAGAGTACTCCCTCCAGCAGCAGTGCGCATGAGGGTGAGTCACCAACCAGAGTGACCTTGTCACCGTGGATACCTGAGCGACGCTAAATAGGGTGCGGAGAGAGTGACCACTACTGTCAGAAATCTGTGGCCACATTCTACAGCACACTGGGAGAATGCAAGCTTCTCAGATCTTACTCCGTGATCTTCCAAGCCAGAAATCCCATAAGGGAGAGGCAAGGACATCACACATCCAATGTGTCTCTAAGCCCTGCATGTGTGGGCATTTTGTGTGGCTGCTTCATGTCTGTTTGAGTTGATAAACATTGCACTCCGGGAAGGCAGGACCCACATTGGTTTTACTCCCTATTGTCCAGCGGGATGCATGCCAAGTGGACAGTACCAGAAAATGCAGTGGACTGAGTGTAGTTCAGTCATGGGTGATATATGTCTCTGTGTCAGAGAAGGTCAGATGGCAACAACCAGGAAGGAGAAATGCCACCACATTGCTGGGCACCAACACCATGCCCAGTGACAATGGGTCAGTGACGGCTAAGGATCATCCAGCCTTGTCATTTTTGTGCTGTCCTATCAGCCAAATCTGCCTCACGAAGAAAATCTCACTCAAGGTCAAATTTCTATAAAAGATTATAGAAGTCTTGTTCTACCCGAAAGGAAGGTGAGATGTGGGACCCTAATAGCTTTCGCAGCCACCTCTCTATCCTCCCCACTTCCTCAAGCTGAGGCCCACAGAGGGGAAGGGACTTTCCAGAAGCCTCCCAGGAAATGATTTAGTGTCCAAGCTAGGATGGGTCCATGTCCCTGTGCTTTGCATGACTCCGCCGTCACCGACTCTACCAGAGTAATGCAATGCCTACAATGTGGCTGCCTGAGCTGCCCAGGGGTTCAGGACTCTGAGGAATGATTAGAGAGGAATGGGACGAATCCAGACAGTACATCCGAGCCCTGTCCCAAGGCCTTCACACAGAATGATGTCCCCTCTCTCTCCCTTCAGATCTGGATGCAGTAACATCTCGCAGAGGAATTTATGAGAAATTTAAACTGCTACTACCAGGAGTGCTGCCTGGCCCTTCCAGCCCTGCCTCATCAGGCGACACTGACATTCTCGTCAATGGCACCGCACAGGTCTCTGGCTGCACAGATGCACAGGCTCTCCGCGAGAAAGAGGGCAGTGGACAGGAGTCATGAAGACTGATTCAGAAACTCCCCACAGGTGGAGAAGACATCAGAGCCACTCCTGTGTCACCTGCTTGTGTCCCCCAGCTCCTGTCCCCTGCTTGTGTCCCCCCGCAGCCAGAGCAGGAAGAGCTGCCTCCAAGTAAAGTCCTTGTCACATCAGAGGATGTGTCCCTCATCTTTTCCCCTTCCCCTAACCAGGGAGTGTCTCTTACAGATGAGGTCTTATCATTTTAAATATTTTGTCACATCTAACCAACCCAAGCTAAATGTTAAAACTTTTTGAGTATTCTTTTTACAATTTTTATTAGTTTACAGTATATAATAATTATATTCATCATGGGGAGTTGGTACATGTACATAACACATTTTAATTTTTTTCATCCCCTTCCCCTCCTGCCTTCCCCCTCTCCCATCTCTTGGTCCCATCCCCATTTGCAAACATTTTTGCCTAAAGAAAGTCACAAGATATCCTCCCTCCTTCCGACTTTTAGGGTCCAGTCCAGGCTCCTCTGTCCCCAGCATCTTTGGTTTCCAGCTCTGTGACATCACACACAGCCTCCCATCTACTCTGCCAGCTGCAGATGAGTGAGGTTCAAAAGCCAGATCCACAAGCCAGAGGTAGGCAGTTTTCTGTACTAAAAGGGACAGTGTCCGCACCACTCCTGGATGCCTGCTCACTTCATCACCCCTCACGACTCTACTGTTTCTCTTTCTGGCCCCTGACCTGTGCTGAATGGCCCCAGAGGGTTTCCCAGCCCAGAAACCTTCCTGCCTGACTTCCCTGACCTTGCTTGTTCACTATCAAGGCGCTGCGGTGTCTCTGGGGACCTGAAGCTCACACTGGGAACAACCCAAGGGCCTTTTCTTTGGCTCCTGCTTCCATCTAGAGGAGGGCACTGGTAGCACAAGACACTCCCCATGTGACAGGCGACTCCCCTCTGTCCCATCCTCTGAGTTAAGAAGAATTTAACTGTGGGCAAGAACCCCCACTAAGCACTTTCCATCTTATGTCACCCAATCTCACAGCATTCTGGTTGGTTTTAGCAACCTCGTTGCACAGACAGATAAACTGAGCTTCAAGGAGGTAGTGTTGCTCCAAATTCCACAAGGCGCTGCAAGAATTAGGAATCCATGTCTAAGTAGAAAGTGTGTGCTTTGGACTGTGGCATCCTCTTCCAAGCTTCAGATGGGAGCCTGGCCATTGAAACCCCCTACCGTTGATTGTCAGAGGACCAGATGGTCTGCACTTCTTGCTCGGGAACGGCCTGTAGGCCGAGGCCTGGGCAGCACAGGTTCCGGGCTCAGACAAAACCATGCTAATGGGGCTGTGAGTGTGGCTCCATTGGAGAGTGCCTTCCCAGCATGCACAAGGTCCTGATTCCATCCTGAGCACCACCCCACAGAAGAAAAGGAAAACTACACTAAAACCCCAGCCATTCCTCCTGGCTGAAACACCTTAGCAAGTCACCTTTCTGGGATCCAGTTCTTCCAACAGAAAAAAATGAGACACACACCGCATGGTACAGTAATGATGAGAGAGAAAGGAGCTCATAAATGTCAAAGAGCCTGCCTAAGATGCCCAATGAATGCCATGTTCTGGCTCTTTCTCTTCCCACTAACTTCTAAGACTGAAGTCATAGGGACAAGGAAAAAGGCATGAGTGAGGACATTTCTGTTTGTAGGGGTAGAAAGTGAACACCTGACCAGGAAGGCCCCAAAGACCCCGGAGGGGATCTGTTCAGCTGCCTGCGTGCCTGCGATCACCCAGCGGCGGGCACACGACCTCCCGGCCTGCACGCGACCTCCTGGCCTGCACGACAACAGACCAGGAAGGCCCCAAAGACCCCGGAGGGGGTCTCTTCAGCTGTCTGCCTGCCTGCGATCACCCGGTGGTGGGCGCGCGACCTCCTGGCCTGAGTGACAACAGACCCAGGAAGGAAGGTAGCCGCGCGGGAGCCCGTGAAACATCCCCACGCGCTTTTTTTCCTGCCTGCCTGGGATCACCCGGCGGGTGCACAACATCCCGGACTGTGTGCCACCAGACCCAGTAAGGAAGGTAGCCGTGTGGGCACCCTTGAAACACCCCCACGACCTCTCCCCCTTCTCAAACCTCCTGATTGGGCCAATCCTTGGACCAACTCTGCAGAGGCATAGGTTCTCATGAAGGGTAGTTTTCTGAGCTCCCAATTTTGAACATCTTTAAAGAAAGGGCAGGGGAAACCTGTAATAGATCTGAGTGGAGTGCAACCCAGAGGGTAAGGAAACTAAAGTTAGGCCTTGTAGATTGTGTTCAGTCTCAGTCGTGGGGAACAGCCATTGGCTAGCTGAGACCAGGGGATTTGGTTCTGCATATGGCTGTGCATGTGGTATAATATGAGATCAGAGACAGCCTGAAAGAGGGCCTTCAAATTCTTTTTTTTCTCTCTCTCTTTTTTCTTTTTTCCTCATTCCACCCTAAAATTTCTTTCTTTTTTCTGTCCTCTCTCTCCAACTAAGTCTCTTGCTCCACCATATTGTCCCTCATCTCCCTTTTTATTCCAGCTCCTGAATAACTCAGACTTCTTCTTTTATTATTTTTTGTTTTTAGGAGGGGTTTCTCTTTATGTTCTTTTCTCCACTCATTTTACCTCA